GATCCTGATCCAATTTTTCTGACAAGCTTGTATTTCCCACCGACTATGAACTCGGCTTTGGAGCCACTGCTGCTCGCCATAATATCCAGCAGATGATAATCTCCACCTGATCACTTTGGGGAAATCTGTGTAGCAGTCTAGCACGATTGTCAGCAGTACATACAGAGTCCTGCGTGTCCAGTTGGCGTTGACGAAACCAAGTAGAAACTAATGTTAGCTGTATTCCAAAAAGACGTGACGACAATAAACGGAAAAAGCCAGCCGATTTCTTCTGTTGGCTTTTTTCATAGGCTACCGTCTACAATGGATCTTCTTCCAAATAAAACCTCCTCCAAAAACACGGAATGCCGTGTCAGTATCGAAGTATATACATCCAAAACTAAACCCGATAAAGCTTACGGCCTTCAACAGCCACCCAGCTACCTCGAAGTAGCAGCTAGCGAGCTCTAACGTGAGCTCACGTTAGCATCAAGCTAACGCTGTCGCAAGGACCGTCGCGGAAAAATGTCCGGACCTCCTCCGTGATGAGAAGCAAAAAACAGCCCCTTTAATTAAACCTCTGATGGTGCTGTTGCCTTTTCAATCTTTTCCGTTACTTAAGGGCGTTTTCAGCAAACATCAAGGGTCGCAACAGTCTGTAGAAAGCGCAACCCACTCACTCCGCCATCTTGTCTTCTCTACCCTTTCTCTCAGCTGCTTTCCGTTGGAGGCGATTAGCTAAGGTTAGATATCTCATGAGCCCTTCAGGTTCTATCGGAAATAATACCATCAAGACATATAATGACACACTTTATATGAACGCAGAACAGTGATTCATAATTGTGAATGGAAAAGGACATATCATCTATGATACCTGCAATGTAGCCAGTCAACATCTGTAAAGTTGAACAACAAACGTGACTTTAGTTTCCGCAAACCAGTACCAATGGATTTAAAGCCACCACTGCCAGTCAAAATAGAAACCTAGCCTATATTGACACTTATACATTCAATTTTTATGATATACAATAGAAAGAGAAAAGTGAACTAGCGTGGCCTATGATACATTGTTTTGTATCTTGTTTAACTTGTTATTAAACAGCTATGGATATTTTACACAACAAAAACTAATTTATGGTGATTTAAATAATCTGACGAGCATCTGGAGTTACTGTATGATTAGTTGTGTGAACCATGGGGTGTGAACCTCTATGGTGTAAACGTTTCCAAATCGCTGTTCCGATTTCTCCTATTCTGCTGAAGTTACATGAATGCAGCATAAGGGTGGGGACCACATGGGTGTAGGCATGTTGCTCCAGGTACAGGTGAGAACATCAAATACAATCCAGAAAGTCCAGTTTTAGCTATGGTTTTAGCATATGCAGGGTGGATGGCTACAAACCACACAGTTCAGGGGTTTATAAGAGCAGAATTTTTGAACGACTGTGAAATAAACACAATGAAGGGCCAAATTACAGCCCACATCATTTAAAAGTTACAGTGTGAAGAAAAGTCCAGTTATAAGTTATAAGTCCAGTTATCAAAAGAAAAACTATGGAACAGATAGTTCTCTGCCAGCCAGAGGTGAGATGTTGTAAAGAGTTATGGCAGTTGGCAGGAATGACTTCCTGTATCTGTCCTTGTGACAGTGGAGCTGCAGCAGTCTGTTGGAGAAGGAGCTCCTGTCTGTCCAGCTGCAGGTGGAGAGGGGGGGGTGGGGTTATCCATAATGGATAACCGATTATTTCAATATATCCAGCAAGAGATAACTCATGGTTAGTGGTATGATGTTGCAGTGGCATACACTTTCTTTCTCCAAAAACGTCAGATAAGAAGCAGCCACATATTCCTGCTTCAAGGATATGATGAAGTCTTATAAAGCTCCATTGTGCGAACACAACAGATCCCCCAACAAGTATTTTGTTTGTGAGATACCCCTAACTGAGGTAGAATAAAGCACAACCATGTTTTTTCATTAATCTAATATGTGTTAAATATTTTAATGCAAAATCATTTTTTTGTTGATGGTTGGTTATTTCCCACTAATGCAAATAGTGAAACAATTAAAGGTGGGGTAGGTAATTTTGGAGAAACCAGCTAGAATTTGAAAATACACAACCGGAAAAAATCTGCCACTTCCTTAGAGCCCCTCCTCCAACACACACGAACGCGCACATGACCAATGAGGGCACGAGATAAGTTTGTGCATAGATGGAAGGCTGACAGGCAGGTAGGCCATCCAGTTATTTTAGCCGGGCCGGCTAAAATGATTGGTCGTGCTTTTTACAGCGCTACGGCTTCCACAGATGATTTTTTAAAATGTATTTATTGTCAAAGCATTTAAGATATTCAATTCATTGCTATCGGGATGTTAAGAGCATTCCATGGAATATAACAAAAAGTGTTTCTGAAATAAATGACATACCCCACCTTTAAGGCTTTAAAGGTTGGCGCGTCCGTATTATCACATTTATCTCTGGAAGTGATGATCGGAATGTCACCACATTACTTGACTATGTTCACAGATACCCCTTTTACATTGAAATCAGGTTTTCGGTGCTCAGGGCCGATACCACTGGAAACATGAAAAACAGGTTAAAAATCAGGCACCTGCTCCGAACTGGCCCTGCAAACACCTTGGTGAAAAAAGGAAGCCATACAATACAGCAAAAATGCCCATCTTTGTAACATATACACTTAAACACACATGGATTATAGCCAGAAATTGAATAGTAAATACAAAAACTACAAGGTATGTATATAACTTTATGTCAGTGTTCAAGTAAAGGGGCCAATTACCAAAAACAAATAATGTAAATGTTACGAAGTCTGTCATCTCATCATAAAAGCCAGGGAGGCTGTGGCTGAGTGGATAGTGTGCTGGACTTCGAATCGGGGGATAGCAAGTTTGAGTCCCACTGCACTTGAGTCCCACTACAGTCAGTCCCTGGGCAAGACACTTCACCCCAAATTGCTCCTGTGGGGATTGTCCCCAGTACTGAATGTATGTAAGTCGCTTTGGATAAAAGCGTCTAACAAATGACATGTAATGTAATGTAATAAATCATAAATGATATATAGTGGGGTCCTTATTATTTGTAACCGCACAATAAAACCTATTGTTGTTTTTCCTTTGTAAACTGTGATATTGAGGGGACATTAAATAAAGTAATATTCTTCATACTTGCTTAGTTAGCAGTTGGTTCAGGTGTACATATCTAAATGTCTCCAATGATGTAAAAGACTTGGTGACAAACAGAACAAACAGGTGCAGCTCCTGGGATCGCATCACCAGAGGGTCTTTAGTTTATGATACCTATCAGGCAGACATCAGGAATTTAAAAGTCAAATCTTTGATCAATTGACAACAATCACACAGTGGAGCATTCTTTGGCAATGAAATTCTTGCTGGAAGCTCCTTCCAGTAATACTATTACAAAATATATGAGAATCCCAAAAATGTGTATAAAGCACAACAACATTGTTTTACCCTTTTTGAGTTGGTGTGCCACGTGAAACCAAAAGTCAACATGTTGTTTGGTAATGTAATAGTGGTACCGGAGTGGGCCGGTCGAGATGCCCGGGCTGATTTTTAGTCCCAGTCCGCCAGTCCAGGGGTGTCCAAACTACGGCCTGGGGGCCAAATGTGGCCCGTGGGCCATTTGGAATCGGCCCTCAGCAAATTAAAAAAAGTATAATGGAATATGTCCCACAAATGAAACTTGTGCTTGTCTTATATTGTACTTCTTAAATCAATATTTAAAAATATATTACACAGTAGTATTCATGAGTTAATAAGTCCACTTTTCAAATAAATTCAGTCAATTAAAGTTGGAAACATTTTCTAACAAATCTAAGTTGATAAGAAAAAAGCCCAATAATTTATTTGCATAACAAGCTTGAAATATACCCTGCCTGTTTCCCCTTATTATAAGCAAACTGAGGCTTCTTTTTTAAGGGATAAGCTGAACACTTTTTGTAACAAAATAAATGGAGAGCTGTGATGTAGGCTGTTTTTTCTAGTATCAAGCATAATTGACCTACATTTGATTGATTTAGCTAACTTATAACTGAACTTATGAGGCAATACCTCCAGTGAGTGGCCCAGCCCTTCGTATATCTTTCTGTATGTGGCCCTCGGTGGAAAAAGTTTGGACAGCCCTGGTATAGAGCAATCAAAAATATGCAACAGAATATATTTTTTTTTACATGACAGCAGTTCTAATATGTTCTAACATGCTACGTGAAAGATGTTCTATGTGTATATAGATCAGGGGTCCTGTATTTATTCCAATATAGTGTTGGGTCTTTCCATCGGATCTGTGTTAACTTTTTAACAAGGCGGTGTGACAAATATTTGAGACGAATTAGATCATGTAGCACATCCAGGACCCTGAGGCGGGCAGGGAAGATAGTGGCCAGCCCCTCCCACCCTGGACACAAACTGCTCCATCAGGACCAAAACCTCTCTCCACCTGAACAGTTTCTTCCCCTCCGCTACTGGCCTCCTCAACAAGACCCGGCCCCCCCACTGACACTTTACCTCAGCCACTCCAGAGACACTATGCATTAATGCACACTGTACAAAGAATATCTTGTTTTTATTTATTTCATTTAAATAAATAAACAGTTCTGCACAACCCTCCAAATGTTTTGAACATTTGAACACAAAATACCCCTCTTAATATCTAACATTTTTTGTATTTTTTATGCAGCATAAAGTGTCTCCAACTTCATTGCGTTGTGTAACCATGTGTTGTGACAATAGATTAACCTTGAATGTGTCTTCCTTTCTGTTAAACTTGAAATTCTGGAAAAGTTTTGCACATTTTGTGCAGAACTCCTCCCTAAAAAAACGTGTACAGTAAGTCTGTCTGCACAGATCACCATCACAAGGACAGCACAGTATGTTATCTGGTGTTGGAGTATAGGATGGAAGAGAGATCACATGTGGTGGTCAGGGTGTTCATTCACTGTGTGTTACATTTCCCAGGATGAATTCTGTTCACGCACACAGGAGATATGTTGCAGTGTACAACTTTATTGAGAAAGCCAGTTACAGAATATGCCCATTACACAGTGTGTGTGTGTGTGTGTGTGAGACTGGGCTCCATATACGGTTAAGGAGAACATGTCCCTTTCTTTGCCACTTTCACATTCGTCTTCTCTCTTCTGTTGGAGAAAAAAAAAAGTGTGTTACAGCATTGTGGATTAATTTATGTCTGTCTGCATGTGTAGCAGAACGCTATACAAAAATCGAATGAACTGTATTCAGTTTCACAGATTTGACTGAAACAATCTTAAAGTAAGTTCACACTGTTGTCATGCATTACATAATCTGTGTGTGGTTATACTGTTACCACCCTTCCTTCTACTTTCAAAATAAAAGCTGGGACAGAGTTGTTTTTGACCACCAGGTGGAGGCAGAGAGCAGTGATTGGTGTTAGTTTCTTACAAATCAACTACCGTTGACACTAAATGAGTAAAAGGACATTTAATTGGTTGACAAATAATCTTGTTCCCACTTGTGAAGACTCATATAACCACGATTAATTAAATTGCAGGCTAAACCCCAAGCTACTGGATACTGGCATAAAATACACTTTACACGTTGTCCTTAGTAGCCTACTCATATGGTCCTAATTTTCTCCTCACAGGGGGGTCATATAAAATCATAAGCTTATTTTTTTCCCCTTGTTCAGTCTTTAAACGACACTTTAGAGGTTGCAGGCTGTCAGAGTCAACTCTCACACACATGATCCTATAAGATATCGTTTATAAACTCACCCCACCCATTGGAAAATAATAATGCTACAATGATATCTCCATATGTGTTTTAGTGTGTATTAGTACATGTTACATGCCTGTTTTCCTGGCAGAGGACACATTCGGTGCTGTAGACCTTTCCATCGCTGCCACATACTGGATCATACTCCCTGGTGCAGGTTTCCCCTTCAAACTTCTCACAGCCAGCCTGTAAAGACAAATGTATTCATCATTATTGTGGGGGAAACTTCTGTGTAGCAATGCAGGAGGAGTCACCGACACAAAAGGAGACACGGAGAGAGCTGGAGCTTTGATGGCAAACACTGATGGGTTTATTTAGGAGCTTCGGCCGGAGAATTCACAAAACAAGTCAAAGAGTCAGACGTTCTGACTTCACGGTAGAGTTGCCACGTCAATTCTGAAGAACTCTACCCCAGACCCATGTATTTAGCTAGTTCAGAGAGAATAATCAACATTGTGCATAACAAGATAGAATCACAACACCTCTATCAGCTGACGCCAACAGGCAGGAACAGGGAGACAGAACACTGAGAGCACAGCAGCCAAGGTTACAGGTGCGTGTGCTCAGTCAGGACAGTATGAACTGATAAACTGGGTCAAAGTTATGGGCCTTGGAAAATATTTCCCCAACAATTATGAATGTATTCAAACTGTGAAAACAAAACAAAATATTAGCATTTTGTCATTGACAGGTGTTTGATGGTGCCTTGACCTTTGTCTTAGTTTTTTGTTAGTGGCAGATTCTCTGTGGAGTCCAAAAGCACATCTATGAAATAGTCCTACATTTAAGCCTTAAAGGTGCGGTAGGTAATTTTGGAGAAACCAGCTCGAGTGCGCTAGAATGTGAAAATACACAACCGGAAAAAATCTGCCACTTCCTTACAGAGCCTCTCCTCTAACACACACGAATGCGCACATGACCAATGAGGGCACAGATGGAAGGCTGACAGGCAGGTAGGCCATCCAATCATTGGTCGTGCTTTTTACAGTATTACGGCTTCCACAGATGACATTTTTTTAAGGATTTTTTGTCAAAGCACTTAAGATATTCATTGCTATCGGGATGTTAAGAGCATTCCATGGAATATAACAACAAGTGTATCTCGAGCCGGTTTCTCAAACTTACCTACCCCACCTTTAAACTTTAGAGATCAACTAGCTTATTGAAGTTAATCTCTCTAATAATAAGAAGAGATGTTTTTTTCTTCTTGTACAAACCCTGGTAATAGGGTTGAAAATGATCCGTCACCTTTTGGAGCTATCCATAAAAAAACATTGAAGCCGACTTAGTTAATTGGTTTATTTATTCTAAAATTCTAATGAGATCAAGTTCTGTTTTGCTAAAGAGATTCTTTATCATAAATGTGTAAACCAGGAGTTCAAATTAAAATCCAGAATCAGATCCTCCTGAGGACTCTCACCTCTTCTGGAGCTCCAGTCATCAACGCCCCATCGCCGTCTGTCACCGCCTCACTCTCCACGGACAGGACTATGTACACACACACACACACACACACACACACACACACACACACACACACACACACACACACACACACACACACACACACACACACACACACATCAGTACCTCTATTCTTGTAATAGTCCTCATTGATGTTACACGTCACACTAACCCTCATCTCTTAAGTGGGGAATGGAAGTGTTCCGGTTACTTATATTGTTAGTCATATATTTCAGAAGGCTTTGGTTGAATGCATGTCATCTGTCCAACAATCTTGGAAGCCAACAGCCAACGTCTGATGTCTATTTAGCTTGTTATTACTTTAAAACTAGCTTTTCTTTTTACTTCAACTCCATTCTCAGATCTCGGGTTTGTTATTGGCCTGTAAAATTACAAAAAGCAAGTCTATCTATTACAACAACAACCTAGAAATATAGCCCCTTGTCCCCAGAGGTGTATTGCTATCCAACTCTGACACTAACCATGACCTCAACTTAACATAAACCTTCTGACTGTGACCTTTAGACCCAGTCTGACTCACAGAGAGCTCGATGAACAGGAAGCTGGACAAACAGTCCTCAGGATGTAATGGGCTTCTTTTCAACCCTCACAGAGAATGTAATATCGTCACCAGCTTTTTGTATGCAAGAATGTAACCCAGCCAAGTCTTAAGTTCCTCTGTACTTCCTCTTGTTTGGCTGCTCTTGGCTTGCTGTTGAAATTAGAGCTGCTGTTTCAGCAATGTCCTCAACTCATTTGTTTGTTGTTTTTTCCGTAGGGACAAACCAATGTTGGTAACCTGATTTGAACAGCCATGAGAAGAGGACATCTGAACCACAGAGTTAGTCAAAAAACAAGGCTTACAAAACGTGTTCCACCCAGCTAAGTGTTATGTCATCCTAAATATCCAAAACACAATGTATTATTTGTAATCTAATTTATTTTTTCAATGAAAGAAAGAAACACATAAAGAAACAGAAACCTTCTGCTCACATACATGATGTCAGTGATGTCATTATGATTTAACTGACCACTTTTAGATCATGAACACATATAGTATCATTATTTATTCCCTGAGACTTTCCTTTATTGGGATTTTTACCTATTAAAAATAGTTAGCTCTTTATAATATTTGATCAACCAATTAGAATTTTTTGTACGTAACCATTTCTAAACAATCCACTAACAAAACAATACACCTCAGGATGATATTAATTCACATTTGTAATACTTTGTTTCTTATTTTGTCCTCTTTCTAGACACTAATGCAGTGTTCTGCTGTATTTCTGTGTCAAATTTCTGGGAAAAAAGGCTTTACATCAAAACTAGGATGGAAACTAACAATCTTTCAGGTGTTTACTGATTCAAAGGAAGCAGAATCTGAGTCTGCTAAACGACATGTTATTATCTAGTTGTTAAGATCATGATATTCTGCTGAAATGAACTCACCAGAGAAGGAGAGCAGCAGAGCAGAGCAGAGCAGCAGGGTCTTCATGTTTCCGGTGTGTGTACGTGTCTCTGTGGGAGGCAGGTGTGTGATTCTCACATTATGTTTTTCCTTTCATGCACAACCTGTTGAGCTGGCTGTAGCCGCCCTCTGATTGGTTGCTTTGTAAAAACAAGACTCATCTAAGCCTCAAGATAACACAACCGGATCAGAGCAGCCAGGAAGAACAAATATCCAGACATGAGACTGTGATGTAGACAGCAGGCTGCTGTCTGAAGATAACTATATTCAACAATTTAGTGTGAGTAAGCCAACACAGTCAACATGTGAAACTGTTTTGCATTAGGAGCTGGGTATGAAAATACTGTAGAGCATGGATGTCTTTGGAAATGAACAGTTTGACTTTGTTATTGTAGTTTTATAATGATGGAAGTTCTGTACAAAACCGGTCCGCATGGTCCGACTTTGGTTTGAGCATGCCCTATAAACGTGCATCAAAATCAACACAACAGCTCAAATCTACTAAGTCTCATTATGTTTTATTTCACAATATAACATACCACCCCCCCCCCCCCACACACACACACACACACACACACACACACACACAATCTTGTAATTACAGTATTAAAGCTGTCGCTAGGCGCTGCGCTCAGATTTTAATTATTTCAACTCTGATCCCGATTGCCTCTGACCTTTCAACTTTCAACCAATTAGAGGACAGCTAAATGAAGCGGCTTAAGCTACTGTAGCGGGGCAGGAATAGAAACTTAACTTTCTGTCTACTTGAATGGTAAAAATAAAAACAGTACCTGGAGATTAAATGTCAGTATAATGAATAACACATCTATATCCAAGCAGATAAGAAAGTAAACTAGAGAATGCAATTCCTGAAGAAATTGCTAGTGGGAATGCTTTATGCTGAAAAGCTGACGCTAAACTTCTATGCCGAAATGTAATGTGTAAGAAGAAAGTGAATAATTTAGATTGAAATGATACATGAACACTGGGGGCTTGAATGTGTGATGAGAGAAGAAAAGAAAGTAAAAGGCTTGGAAAAGCAGCAGAATATTTGAACTGCAAACTTTTGAACTAACTTGATGGCGAATGATCTGTTGCCATGCCAACAGCATTTGATGACATCCCATAATACGCTTAGATGCGTTGATGGCTGCATCGTTACCAAACCTGTGAAGTTTTGGGCCGTTAGGAGCATTTTCACTGAAGTTATGAGAAAACCGTGTTTCATGGCGAGCCTTGTGTTGCCATGGCAACGACATTTGAAGAAATCTCAAAACTGTACCGTAGATGTCTTCATGGCTGGACTGTTAGCACACATGTGAAGTTTGAGCACTTTTTGAACATTTTCATAGGAGTTATAGCGACATCGTCTTTTATGGCGAGGGATGCGTTTCCATGGAAACGGCATATGGTGAGATCTCAGATTTGGCGTAGAGCTGTTGAGGCATGGACCGGTGATATACAAGTGAAGATTGGGGGACGATTGGACCGTGTCGATTGGACTTACAGCGACATCGTGTTTCATGGCGAGTTGTCTGTCGCCATGGCAACGACATTTGATGACACCCCATAATACGCTTAGGGCCGTTTGAAGCATTTTCACTGAAGTTATGAGAAAACCGTGTTTCATGGCGAGCATTGTGTTGCCATGGCAACGGCATTTGAAGAAATCTCAAAACTGTCTCGTAGATGTCTGGACTGTTAGCACACATGTGAAGTTTGAGCACTTTTTGAACATTTTCATAGGAGTTAAAGGGAGAGAGAGAGAGAGAGAGAGAGAGAGAGAGAGAGAGAGAGAGAGAGTGTGTGTCTGTGTGTTTGCGAGAGAGGCTGCATCTCAGGTCGATTAAATGGAATCCTTGCGTCCCTCACTTGCGTCGTTTCCCTGCGACTAGTCCCTCCCACCAGGGAAGCATGGAGAGACGCAAGGAAACCACGAGAAGCAGGGAAATGAGTTTTAAGAGCAATGGGACGTCCTTTCCTCCGGAGCGTCACGTGAAGCGACGTCCGTTTGTGATGACACCGCACAGCTGATGTCTGACAGCAGCTCTGTCCCCGTTGTTTTCACACACACCCCCGCCTCTGTTAGTACACATTTACTGACATATACATGTGTATCATCTGTTGTAGACCCAAATAAATAAAAATAAAAATAAAATAAGAACTCATTCTCAAAAAAGATAAACGCCATTCTTAAAATGTATAAACGAAAAAAGCGATCATGAAAATGAGAGAGAGAGAGAGAGAGAGAGAGAGAGAGAGAGAGAGAGAGAGAGAGAGAGAGAGTGTGTGTGTGTGTGTGTGTGTGTGTGTGTGTGTGTGTGTGTGTGAGTGTGTGAGAGAGAGAGAGAGAGAGAGAGAGACACTGTGTGTGAGAGAGAGAGAGAGTGTGTGTCTGTGTGTTTGTGAGAGAGAGAGAGAGAGAGAGAGAGAGAGAGAGTGTGTGTGTGTGTGTGTGTGTGTGTGTGTGTGTGTGACAAATCAACTTCCGGTGATACCGAGGACCGACGACCGAGGAAATGAAAATAGTCGACCTGAGACGCAGCCAGAGAGAGTGTGTGTGTGTGAGAGAGAGAGAGAGAGAGAGAGAGAGAGAGAGAGAGAGAGAGAGAGAGAGAGAGAGAGAGAGAGAGAGAGAGAGAGAGAGAGAGAGAGAGAGTGTGTGTGTGTGTGTGTGTGTGTGTGTGTGTGTGTGTGTGTGTGTGTGTGTGTGTGTGTGAGAGAGAGAGAGAGAGAGAGAGAGAGAGAGAGAGAGAGAGAGACACTGTGTGAGAGAGAGAGAGAGAGTGTGTGTCTGTGTGTTTGTGAGAGAGAGAGAGAGAGAGAGAGAGTGTGTGTGTGTGTGTGTGAGAGTATGAAATGAACAGTTAGAACTGACTGCTGTCAGTTGGAGTGATGACATCATCGTGTTCCATTACACAGGTGTTTATAGTTGAGCTAATGAGCTCTGTAGAGATCAAAGGTTTGCATTGTTCTGAATGACAGATAAACCTCTTACATGTGAACGTTTTGTGGAAGAACCATAACAGATATCTGTGAAATTTCAAAACGTGAAGCATGTCAAGGAAGTTGAGTATCTGAAGTGTAATTTTTACTTGTACTTTTGGGTTAATAATGTGGCCTTTTTGGCAGTTTAACTAAAGGTGTGCGGCTGCTGCTGTGAGGAAATATCAGCCTGAAATTACAATGGGTTTTAATGGAGACATGTTGAAAGTTTTTGTCACTTCATGCCCTCAAGAGGCATTTTGTTTAATTATTTTGCTTAATTATTTGTCATTTTTCAAGCTACGAGATGTTTTCCTACGTTTGTCATGAAAAAGTATGTCTCAGGAATGTAGGGTTTGGGAATTATGGCAGTTTTAAAAAAGAATATGAAGGCAAATTTCAAGATTTCCTACCCTCTAGCTGTGACATCACGCACTCTAGTTAATGTTAAAATCTGAAGAAAGCCTCTTTACCAAGGTCTGAACAATGTTTAATATCTCTAAAAGTAAGAATCAGATTTAAAAGTTGTGTTACACGAATAATGTCAGAAAGATGTGTAACATTTTAAAGTTGGAATGAGGTTTCTGAGTGAAAGTATGAATGAACAGTTAGCAGTTGAAGTCGCATGAAGATTGTTCAAGTCTGAAGATTTTCTACATTGACTTCAATGGTTAAAAATGTGATGAATTATGGGATGCATCTCTGGAATTATGAAAGTTATGAATGATAAAAGTAATAGCCATCGATTCCCGACCGAGCTGAACGTTTTGATGTTTGAACGGAGTTTCTGCGATGTTGAATGCAGGAGGAGAAGAGGTGCAAAGTTCCGGCGGAATAATAGTAATTTTGTCCGTAGAAGAACATATAGTTGGAATGCTGTATCAGCATTCCCACTAAATAATACGACTGGCTCAATGAGTGTCCCGCTTTATTTTCCCTTTTTTAAATGTATTAACAATGTATTTATTTCATTTTATATATCTATATTTGTTTGTGTTGTTGTTGTAGGTTTGGGGAATACAAACAGTTCACCCTTTACACTGTGGCAGGGTTAGAGCTGCTTCATGTCACAACACACAAGAGGACATAAGATCCGGTAAGGGGGGTAATGTGTGTGTATCATTGCGTTATAAATGATATATATTTATAATAATAATAATAATAATAATAATACATTAAATGTATATAGCGCTTTTCCATGGTGCTCAAAGCGCTTATATGGAATAGTTAAATAAATAATTAAGTAAGAAACAGAAATGATGTAGAAACTGTAACTGAAACTGGAAACAGGAGTTAGAAATCTTGGATTAACAAGTATGTTAAATACAGAGGCTGGAACGAGACCAAGAAGGTCCACATTTGAAGTCTGCCTGCCCCCTAACACCTGCAACCCAGATGCAAATCATTTATATAATAAAGAGCAAAAAAAGCAATGGCGATATCCAGAGCAAACTAAACATCTTCAAAAAGGGAAGGGTAAAATAAATATTAAATATAGTAAATCAAGAATAAATAGATACAAAAATAAATACAAAAAAGTAAATATTTAAGGGCCGAATACAAGCAGTTTGTCAGGTCGAGGTGGTTCTGCTCACATTGTGACAAAGTTCCCCTCCTCCATCCTGTACTCAGCCTCCTCACAACGGCTGATGCATCGCACACCTGTACCACATAATGCAATAAAACAGTCCTGACATAAAATGTACTTTAACAAAGCTTATCATTTTCAGTTTTTATTGCACTATGACATGTGGTATTTCAAGGGATGTGTGGGAATATGGGGCAATGAAATTGTACACAAGTGAAATATAACGAAATATGATAACAACCTAAAGGAGGGTCATTTATTGAGTCCCTGTTCGGCAGAGGGACCTGGTTTCAGATCAAATTTTGAGAATTAATTATCTATTAATTTAAGTGTGGGGACGGTGTTTTTTTTTGGTTGATGTAAGAAGAACATAATAGACAAGACAAACATATTTTTTGCTATCTAATGTTTTGTTTTTAGTGTTCTATTCCTAAATAAAAAAAATCATAATACTGAATAAAAGTTGGAATTGCTATAACATATATTATTTTTATAATGTCAATTAGACAAATTGAAAATCCTCAAAATATAAGATACATTAATGTATTTATTTCAGGTAGTTATCAGACAACTGATTAATGAGCTAGATATATAAATATAAATATAAAATGATTTTCTTACAGTTAAATACTTTGGAAATACTTCGCTGCAGGGATACTGTATGATTTTCGACAGCTATTATCTTATTAACTCAGCTTGTTGGCAGCAGATAGGCGAGCTGCTGACTGTAAACACCTGTTGGGCTAGAGGTCTTAATTTGAAATGTGGCCGGAAGATGTGTGTCGGCTGTTGTGATAGCTGCCTTGACGCAGCTCCATACAGATGCCTGCCATCACTGTACCTGGATGAGACGCTCCTGCATCCAGCTGGGTTTCTCGCACCGTACCGCCGTGTGTCAGGCAGGGGACAGGAAAGGAGGACCGGGCGGCCGGGGAGATACTGAACCATCGGGTACCGTGGAGGCTGGATAAAAAGATACAGGTGTCCGACGAGACCCGGTTGCTGCCTGGCGACGAGGAAAGGGGGGTCTCTCCGCATCTGTTGCCTGGGTGAATTCATTAACACGTTAGCATCAAGCTAGTTAGCCTAATTTGCAGGTACATAACACAACGAGGTGTAAGTCACCGTTACACCGAAAATCACGAATGTCATCTTTGGTTTTTAGGTGACAGCGCTCGACATGAGTCTTTGGTAAAAACCGGTTTCCGTTACGGGGCTATGTATTATGTTTAGAGGAAAGGACGGACCTAAAGGTGTAGGAATGGGTTTCATGTAAGTATAGGGAGCTAACGGGAGCTAGCAGGCTAGCTTCATGGACACAGTGGTAGGCTATGCGGCTGCTGCAGCCCGCAGCCTGTAGCTACACCCTGCGAGCTAACATGGAGTCTATGTTCCGCATGAAGCCTCACGGTGTCACATGCATGCATACAATGATAACAGGGCATTCGATAGTCAGCTAGAAGGCCGACGCGAAAATGGAGTCTTTTCTGCAGATAGCCCCCCATTCACTGGCTATAGTACTGTCCAGGGTTGGGGCTGGGGATGCGGGGGGGGCGGCCGGGGTGTCAGAGAGCGATGCGCTGCCGAGACACCACACCGGCTATGAGATTTTTGCCGACTTTAAAGCAGAAAATACCCAGCATCATGTATGGAACCAGAGGATTACTGAGGCTGTGTCCGAGACCTTCTTTCTGGGATGGATAGATGAGCATGTGCTGCTGATCCAGGGGAAGGAGGACCACCTAGAGGTGCTGAGGGAGGGATGGATGCGGAGGTCCCTCAATCCGCCACGAGGATTTACCATCAAATACCTGGGTAAGGCCTCTACACCCACCCTGCCTGCTTAGGTTTAGGCCGAATCATTTTCGTGTGTTTGTGTTTCCATTGAAGCTACGCTACACGACCACCTCCACTCAGCACGACCCATTGGTTGTGCACACCGCCAACACCACAGCACGTCTGTTGTTTGTTGCATTTAGACTCCATTATAAAACGGATTAGCCACAAATTCCAGTATAAGAATAAGCCACATTGATTTTTGTAAACTCCTTTCCAACAATTTATATGTAAATGTTTTATACCTGTTTATTTCTGAACAAGGATATATGTTATGAGTCACCCTCACAACTTAACTCACCCCATACGAGACCCATCATTCAGAAGACGGGGGCACTCAAAGTTGACACACCCCCAACAAAGATGTTTACTTCAGATTTAAGCTTAAAGGGGCCCTGTTCTGCTAATTTGCAGGTGTAAATTAGTGTCTATACTGGGACATGTCTCCATGCTTTAATGTTCAGAAAGCTCTTTATTGTTCTCATACTGCCTGTGCTGCAGCACCTCTTTTCACCCTCTGTCTGAAACCAGAGCTCAGTCTGCTCTAATTGGTTAACTGGCCGGCTCTGTTGTGATTGGTCAACCCCTTTAGAGATGTCCCGCCCCTTAAACTATCACGTACAATGTGTTGGAGAAGAGCTAGTCAATAGAAGTGCGAGTGTTTCATAGTGATGTCACTCTGTTACTGAAGTAAACAAAGGAGTCCAGTGGAGGTGTTTCAGGCAGGGGGGGGGAGTGTGTGGGAGAGAAACTGGAGGGAATTTTGCAGACTATTTACATGCATAAAAACCTATACAACACACTACAGGAAAGGGAAACTCCAAAAAAGCAGATTATGTTTTGTCCTTAAACTTTGAATTACCAGAAAGCAGGAACTTCTTGTCCGTTTATAGTGTTATAGGGAAGGGGTTTTCAAAGTGTGGGAAGGTGAGCCTCCCCTCAGAGAACATAAGAACAGCCGCGCCCCCCCCTCCCAATTATTATTGCTGCTATTATTATTATTATTATTATTATTATTATTATTATTATTATTATTATTATTATTATTGTTGTTGTTGCTATAATGCAGGGGTATTATTATCCAGTGGAATGCCCTTACCTACTGGCCTAGTGAAATCAAAGTGGTTACTTTTTTTTGGCTGGGCATAGGGCTGCACGATTTGGGGAAATAATCTAATGGCGATTTTTCTGACAGATATTGCGATTGCGATTCGATTTGCGATATTTGTTTTTATGCGACCCAACAGAAGTTTATTGTAAAATGCGGCCATATCTCCGGCTAGGAAGGTCGTATCAACATGCTCCCGTCTCTAGCACCCCCGCAGCCCGAGCTACGAGTGAAAGAACTAAACTTACATGAAACTTCTGACTCAGATGGTTTGTTTCACCAAACCATCTACATTGTTTCCCCTAGGATGGAGTCATAGCAGCGGTGCTAAGGCACGTGGGCCCAGCATAATGTGAGCGCGGAGCGCGTGGAATTTTTTAGTGCGTGCGAAGTGCACCCCGCCAATTTGTTTCTATGTGTCTGCCAGCACAAGAAAGGCTCTTGAGTCCTAGTACCAGGGCCGGTTCTAGCCAATTTGCTGCCCTAGGCGAGATGTTAGGCGAGATTTTATATATAAAGAATAAATGAAAAATCTCTACAAAAGACAAATACACTACAAAAACAGAAACTTATTGACATAGGTAATATACGTCAAAATGGCTTCAAATGTATTCAGTATTGTATGAACATGTTTTAATTGGGCGGTGGACGTCACATCCTCTAGGGGGGGTCCGGGGGTATGCTCAATCTGGTGCACTTTGAGCACACAATTACTAGAGACCTGATCTAGGGGGTAGAACTCTAAAACACCCATATAAAAAAGATCGGTTTACATTTATTTTAATAATCAAATAAGTATGTGAACATAACCAATAACCTACCATAGCCAATAACAAATAAATGTAACTTATTTTATTTTTGTTGTTCATTCATATCTTATTTTACCAGTTAACATTTATTTATTTATGCATATTTTTGTATCTCTCCAACTTTAAACGATATTTTTGGTTTACTGTCCTATAGTATACATTGGAATGATTTCAAACCTGTTTTTATTCATCCTAATAATTATAAAGGAGTGCCTTGGAAATATGTGTTTACATAATTTGTAAACACATATTTGTTTGAGACCCACTGAGATGACTTAGACTAAAATGAATGAAAATGAACTATCTAAACCCTCAGAGAGTCCTTTACCTCCCTGAGCCTCTCAGTCTGACAGGAGAGCTCTCCTCCACCCTGGTTGTAGAAACATCTACTTCTTATATCCGTTAGCGCAGCTAGCACCAGATTCTAATAACAACAGCGTCGGTACCGGTGCGCCCTCTCTCTCTCTCCCTCGCCCTCTCTCTCTCTCCCTCGCTCGCTCTCTCGCTCCCACGCTCGCACTTTGGCTGTGAGCTGCGGGCGCCTGATAAGCCAACATCTCCCACTTTCATCACTTACAGCACCCATCATACAGGGCAAATGAAAAGTGTAACCGGGGTGAAAAGGGTGTTACATTTACTTAATTATGAATGTTGTTACATCAAGGCCAAAAATTAGGATGAGCGCCAACGGTCAAAAATGTTTTTTCCCCTCCCAGAGCAGTGCCTCCCCAGATCTGGCGCCCTAGGCGACCGCCTATGTCGCCTATGCCAAAAATCGGCCCTGCCAGTACATACAGTGGCAATTAGGGATGCTCCGATCGCCAATTATCAGTATCGGCCGATACCGATCGCCGATCCGATCGAGTGGGCGGGGCCTATGGGGATCTTCCATTTAAAGTGATGTTTAAAACTCAGTTAATGGGGCTCATTCACTGGAGCTTCCACAAACAACAACCAACTTGCGGAGCTTGAACCGGAGTTGCGTTGGTGTGAATTCACACCAACGCAACTCCGGTTCAAGCTCCGTGCTAGAGCTTTTCAGGTTCAGAACCGGTTCTTCGGTTTAGCTCCGGCTCTTTTCACACCGCCCAGAGTCCGACTGGTGCTGCGTCATTGCGTCATCGTTTGCGTCATGACGTAACCATTTGCGTGCCTGCTTCATAAAGCCAAACCGCGCGGAAACCCCTCACAGCTCACACCGACAACAACAATAATGGCCGATTGTGTTGAAGCGCTACTCGTTTTGGTTTTCTGCAATTGTTGGGGAATTGCTTTGGACCGCGTGCTCCCCTCCAGCTTCCTCTGTACCTCTTCGGAAGACCAGATTCCCAGTAGGTAGCTGGTCTCTTCAGTGGACCACTGCTGCTTGTTAAGTTTCTCCATCGTTGTGTACAAACTGGATAAAACGCAGGCTTTTTGTTGTTGTTCAGGAGTTGATCCCGCCCCTGCCCCCGCCTCGACGTAAGCGTGACGTATGCGGTGCTTTTGCTCTAGCCGTACAATTTTTTGGTGCTCGAAACGAACCGGATTGCGGAGCTAAGAGGCTGCTCTGCTGCGGTGTGAACAGGAAAACCCGGTGCTTTTCAAGCTCCAGCTCCGAACCGGCCCTGAAACACCGTTGGTGTGAATGAGGTATGAGTGAAGTGATGGGGTCCCCTCTCCTACCATAATTTGGCCCTATTGGACAGACACCCAGTTGAAATTATGTATTTAGAATGCTTAAAAAGCATCTTACAGGTGCACGGAAAAAGTACAAACATTACCAGCAGAGCCGAATGAGGCCAATTCCCATAGAGTATTACATCTTAAAATAAGATAAAAAGAGCAAATAAATGTTGGTCTCATCTTAAAAACAGTGACCCACTCTCATATCCCCAGAAAGCCCTGCAATGCTAAGAGCTGAGCTAAGCTCAGCTGAGTAGATTTCTGGACCCTGTTCAGCCTCAGGACCAGCCTGACATTATATTAATCAACACAATTATAAATCACCAGAAACAAAACTATAACACTAATTGGAATACACAAACTAATTCACACAGCAAAATGCAGTGCCATCTGGCCCTAAACAGACAGTACTGTGTGGCAGATTACCTGAGCACAACCTCAAAACACAAAACTCCAATCAATCCAAACTAAATATTTCCCCAAATTTAAATACAACCATCCTGTATTTGACCACATAACAAACATAAAAGCTCACAGGGAACTTTAGTCTGGCATAACAATATGTTTTTAGCTGCTAACGTCAGGAGCAGGTGAGCACCCACTCAGGCACACACACTTAAACATGCATGTTGCATTTTAAAAGCATCAGATTTGACAACATGGAACAACTCAACCTTGCACGGTGAGGCCTCATAAAAATGCCTCCATGACTGAATACCCTTTCAATGGGTGCACTGGAAGCAGGGATGGAGAATACCTGTGTGGCAACCCGATAGAGGACAGGGAACTGGGATTTATTTTGCTGCCAAAACTTGAAGCATGGGTCTGAGTCCTGGTTGTGGATCAAGTCGAGGTATGCAGTCAGCTGAGCCTGGACAGACCGACTGTTGGTGGAAGAACATTCTCAGCTTCTTCTGAGGAGCTTCAGGAGGAGACACTGGAACATCACCTTGTTCTGGTCCTGCTGCTGTGTCTGCTACTGAGATCATTTGCTTCTCACCCTCTGCCTTGATACACTCTGAAATGAGAGAGTATACTTTTGTGAATAAATCTGCTACTGATCTTATTCTTTTGTTTGTGATACCATATTATAGATGATGATGTTAATTTGTTTTACTTGAAGAGGCTAATGTGTAAAAATGGCCTTATAATGGGTAATTCTTTCCATAAGGATTAAAGGTAGGGTAGGTAAGTTTGAGAAACCGGCTCGAGATACACTTTTTGTTATATTCCATGGAATGCTCTTAACATCCCGATAGCAATGAATATCTTAAGTGCTTTGACAAAAAATCCATAAAAAAATGTCATCTGTGGAAGCCGTAGCGCTGTAAAAAGCACGACCAATCATTTTAGCCGGCCCGGCTGAAATAACTGGATGGCCTACCTGCCTGTCAGCC